TATCTGTGGGCAGTGTCCTGATCACAGCCACTGATTCAGTGTACAACGATTCTGAACTGTCTGCTTGATCTTCTGAGAGTGCGTCAGAGTCAGAGTCATCTGGTCTTTCATACATGAAACCGAGTCGTGCTCTCGGCTCCGGCTTCTTCTCGGTTTCTGTGGTTGGATGAGTGGCTGGCGTGATCGATTTGACTGTATCGTGTCGATCAGAATTATGCGCTTCTTTCGAATCTCTGTGGTGGTGGTGGTGTTCCTCAACCTTTTTGGGATGTTCAAAAAGTTTAGTTGGTGAAATCTTTACTTGATGTTCTGACGGTCGCTCTTCATTCCCAGCTGACTTCTTAACTTCAGCTGAAGAACGATGACGATCATGAGTCCGAGAATGTGAGCGTTCCTTTGATTCAGCCACCACTTCACTTGAATCGTCGTCCATATCAATTGGTTCGTTTATTTTGAGTAATGGCTCATTATAGTTGTAGTCAGAGACATCTGAAAGCATTCATAATAGATAAGCTTTCTGTGATGCAAAAACAACGAACACTCTAGTCGGGTGAAAATGTGGACACACGGAAATAATTGAACGCATGAATCGTCGTTGTTTCAGGGAGAACTAAACATAGGGGAATTCATCTGAACTGCTGCTCTCTCACTAACCGGATGTTTCAATCTCTTCGATGACTCGTTCCAACTCGTCTGGATCACCTTTCGCGAACGCTTTGTACAGTTTGCGGCTGTTCTCCGGATTATTGCAGTTGCTCTGTCCATAGCACCAACACCTCACGGATCCTGAACGTTGTCGTTTACAACCGGACTTCCCTGAAAAAGAAGGCAAAATATTATTTATCTGTCCAATCATTTAATTGATAATCCCCCACCTACCGCCCCATAATCCCTGACCCTGGATCTGTCCAACGAATGCTTACGACGACCGTCAGTGATTCAACAATATGCGCCTGAAGATGGCATAACGCCGAAACGTTCAGTTTCGTAAAGGACCATCTCTAATTGCGCTAGTAATACTTTGTCAATAAAAATATATTACTATTTGAAAAAGAAAGCATTTGATCTTGATTCAACAAGTGACGATCAATTCATCATGATAGTTGTTGGTGTGTCGTGACAACGTACTTCCAACTGAGCACACGAGAACCCACAAAACGGATTATTAGCCCACAAAACCAATGGATTATCTTACGGATGGATATACGATTTGAGCAGTGGAGAATTTGAGCTTCGAAACGGATGGATATCTTGCAAGAGCTGATGATTGACTAATGGCCTAATGGCACATGAAAGGGTAATGTGACATAACATGATGTGTTGCTGTTGTTGCAACAAGCCAAACAAATCAAATTTGTGCAGAAGAGCATAAATTGATTTTGACAACTAATATTCTGAGTTGGACATATGAGCTTATTCTAATGAAGTGCGACGCTCTTAATCCAATTGTGTTTCACTCGAATATGGTGAATGTATCAAATGTTGATACCGTGGGATAAAAAAGTCATTTTCTTACAACATACTGAGACTTTTTGCTCCTTCGATATCATTCGTTTTCATAATTAAGTTATCTTTTTTTCAGTTTAATGCTTCAGAAATGAGAAACGATGATAAAAATGGCAAAAATTTGCGCAATGTTGAAATAATTTATGTGACACAATGCGTTCCATTCATTCCCGATCGCTGATTTGCGCTGAATTCATAGAATATTGTAATTTTCATTCCCTTTTCTTGGCTGCTTTCATCTATGACGTGGTAAATATGTGAATATCGTTCACAAAAATCATTTATCGTTGAATACCATCATTCTAAATGAATGATGGTAGTTCACTATGATGCTCATGCAGCAGTTTTTACAATAGTTTTTCGATGCCATCGCATAGGCAAATATCACTTAGGTATGACTGTAAAAAATGTTAAGAAAAGCAACTTTTTATGTGTTCGACAGTAGTAATTCAGAGTTGAGTTGTCTTGTGATTGCTGTTGTGCTATCTAAAGTATGCATCTTATTGACGCCAAATCATTTTAAGTGCAGCTCTATGATGGCTTCTAAGTTAAAGGAAACAGCAGATATCAACTGATTCGACCGCATTAACTGATTCGACGCAGATACTAGAACTGGAAGTTGCTTTCATGAAATGACCTACATATGGTCGCAACAATGAACNGACGCAGATACTAGAACTGGAAGTTGCTTTCATGAAATGACCTACATATGGTCGCAACAATGAACCGATTAAACTGGGAAGTTACGATTAATTGGGAGACTTTAAGATACTGTTCGGTAGAAACGGGCAATGAATAAATTGGAACTGAGTAATTTAAAGGAAATGAATCGAGTTAGCTGAATTAGTAGCATACGTTCTGGTTGATATTCATGTGGCATTACACAAGCGAACATGTTTCGATCATACAATTTGTTCTGATACCAAACGATCGAATTCTTCTCAATACGTACTCGACACGCAATCGAATGTCGAGGACATTTCTCACTGGTGAGACCATAGCCTGAAATGTGATTATTGAATCAGTCGTCGTTTAAGTTTAAGTGATTATTAGATTCATTTTATATGAAGTGTTTATGTGTGTGTATGCACTCTTTCTGAATGAGAGCAATCCAATGAAAACTTTGCTCATTCATTTGCTTGAAATAGGACTGCTGATAGTGACAGGCCAACTAACTTCGAAATAATGAAATTGCTTTAGGAGATGAACGAC